AGATAAGATGCAGTCAATGAATATTTCTTTAAATGTTGATGTCTGACTGGTAAATCTCTCTTCTTTATTCTGGAGTTTTGGAGATGGTCCTACTGAAATCAGAGTAGGGTGGTGGAAGTGGCAGGACAGTCAGTGACTCCTAATAATTTTTCCCTTTAATTATATTAGGTCCACAAATTGGATATTCCTTTTCTATAAATGCCTTTTGTTCTCATATGATCCTACCAAAGCAGTTTTTATACCACAACTCTATAAACATTAGGGTGATCTGTTTCTTTATATCTGTCAACAGTTTCCTGTCATCTACTGCATTAACTTCAGGTCTCTGATAATTTCTAATAACAAATCCCTTTCCACATACTAGGGGCCTTTGTTTTTGCTACCAGAAAAACAAACACCTGTTACTTCTGTCTATAGGGACTACATTTTCAGAAACTCCTTACTATTGTTATCTGAAGAGAAATCACTCCCTCTTGCATATGGTCATTATTGTTTGTTGTGTGCCTGTAATACAGGAAAAGCAGAGTTTATAAAATAAATGAAGCAAGAATATTTCAGCCAAATGGGTTCCTTGGCATTAAAACAAGCTAGCATCCAGGCACTGTCATGTTGTGATTATAACTCTCTACTGATACATTTTATGGCTCATGCTTGCCTAAAATAACTCAAGAATCAAGTTAGGTTTAATGTAAAATCCATTTAAATCGTGGCTGTTGTTTCTTCTCTCTGTTGTGGTTGATGCTGCTTTTTGTGAGTCTGGCAATACTAGCTATTCCTACAGAGCTATTCCAAGACTGGATTCAATTGTGGCTAATGAATCTTGATGCATTAGTGATGGCTCAATGGAAACTTAATTGAACACTTCTGAGTTGAGAGAGAAAGAAGTCTAAATCTCCTGTCAAATGTGGTTTGTGTGTATAATATGGATGCATGCGTGCCTTTAAAAGCACCTGAACAGACAGTATGTTTGCAAAAATAGCACTTCTAGTCAGCTAATTCCCTTTCTCTTCCTACATCATGCTAACAAAAAAAAAAAAAAAATAGAATACTGCACTTGCATTCTTGAATGTGGCAGCTATAGTTAAGTCACAACATTTTTAGTTTTCTAATAAGGTTTATGCTGAGTTTTGTCAGGTGCCCCAAAATACACAGAGTTGTTGTGCAGTGTTAAAAATACAGTTTCTGATTCAGCTTTTTAACATTCTTAATTTTACTGAAGGGAAACAAGAGAACAAAGGAGAACATTTTGATCCTATTTCTATGATGGGATGTGTAGAGCCATCCTCTAACCTCTCTTAGAAAGTGATTGAAAGTGTTGCAAGAGATTTATTTCTTGCCAGCAAAACCATTTTTCATGTGTCTTTAAAAAGGTAAAGGTTCCCTTAGCATATACGTGCTTGTTGTTTCTGACTCTAGGGGACGGTGATCATATCAGTTACAAAGCCGAAGAGCCACCACTGTCCGAAGGTGTCTCTGTGGTCATGTGGCTGGCATGACTAAATGCCGAAGGTGCATGGAACACTGTTACCTTCCCACTAGAGTGGTCCCTATTTTTCTACTTGCATTTTTACATGCTTTCAAACTGCTAGGTTGGCAGAAGCTGGGACAAGTAACAAGAGCTCACTCCATTATGTGGTGCTAGGGATTCGAACTGCTGAACTGCCATCCTTTCTGATTGACAAGCTCAGCATCTTAGCCACTGAGCCACTGCGTCCCTCATTCATTATTGTGTCTTCCCACTGCAATTAAACCCCAAGTAAAAACATCACATGGAAAATTCTTAATGGTAATTAATGGTACTTAAGAAGGGCAGCTCAGAAGATGAGAGAGTGACGTAAAGGGATGTTAACAGACAAGAAGACACTGATAGGCCTTCTCACTTTATACAGTCCCCTTCCCAGAGATAGGATGTTCCCCAAACCAACTAGTACTGAAAAAGCAATTTTGTTGTGCATGTTACCCTTAGATTTGTTTATGGATACTTAGGATTACAGGATAGATTGGATTAATTGGATGGATGGATGGATGGATGGATGGATGGATGGATGAATGGATGGAGAGATGGAGAGATGGATGGATGATAGAGAGATAGATAGATGATAGAGAGATAGGCAGTCAGGCAGCAGGCAGAGACATTTAGACAGACAGACATAATGAATAGAATAGAACAGAACAGAACAGAATATAATAGAATTCTTTATTGGCCAAGTGTAATTGGATACACAAGGAATTTGTCTTGGTGCAAATGCTCTCAGTGTACATAAAAGAAAAGATACATATGTCAGGAGTCGAGAATCATAAGGTACAACACTTAATAGTCATAGGGTACAACAAACAATCAACTCATGCTAGGCAACAGTCAATATGAATCGTAAGGATACAAGCGACAAAGTTTCAGTCCATAAAGTCACAAGTGGGAGGGGATGAGTAATAAGGAGTGATGGGAGGATTGATAGTAATAGTAATGCAGACTTAGTAAATAGTGTTGAGGGAAGTATTTGTTCAGCAGAGTGATGGTGTTCAGGGAAAAAACTGTCCTTGTGTCTAGTTGTTCTGGTGTGCAGTGCTCTATAGTGTTGTTTTGAGGGAAGGAGTTGAAACAGTTTATGACTGGGATGTGAGGGGTGTGTAAATATTTTCACAGCCCTCTTTTTGACTCATGCAGTATACAGGTCCTTGATTGAAGGCAGGTTGGTACTAATTGTTTTTTCTGCAGTCCTAATTATCCTCTGAAGTCTGTGTCTGTCCTGTTGGGTTGCAGAACTGAACCAGACAGTTATAGAGGTGCAGATGACAAGCTCAATAATTCCTCTATAGAACTGGATCAAGAGCTCCTTGGGCAGTTTGAGCTTCCTGAGTTGGCGCAGAAAGACCATTAAGTTAGTTGAGTTGAATTGAGTTGAGTTGGGAGAGTGGGAACAGGTAAGATCAAAAAATCAGAATTGAATGAAGACATTCTGGAATTAGAGAAGAGTTTTTCCCCCCACACAATTTTAATTTAATTGAGGGCTATTGACAAAAAAAAAAAAAAAATCAAGGATAGCAAAGTTTTCTGGCTTCCAGCATTTATATTTGCAATTATTAAAACATGGAGGCCAACTTGCTTCATTCAGATGCCAAATATTGACTTATGGAATAGAATTAATTTTCTGGTATTTTTTTTTAAAATCATAGTTTTACTGAAGTTTTAAAATAAAAATGAATAAAAACAAAGAATAAGTAAAATCAAAAAGTGTGGGGGCAACAAAAAGTGGGAGAAAAAGAGAAAATAGAAAGTGGAATCAATTTTCTGGTATGAGTAACTGAAGCAAAATTTATTATGAACAATGATTCTAATTGCTTCTAATCTGAGATGCAAATCTTTCCCTCCCCCTCCCTCTCTTTCTCCATCTCTCTCTCTCTGTGTGTGCTTGTCTTAGAGAAGAAATCATATCTTTTTAAAATTGGCCAGCAGAGCTGAGCAAAGGTCTCACAGAAAGTAACCAGTTAGTACTCAAATAACACAAAGATAGAAGAACAAGAAAACAGAAGAGAAGAACAAAATAGCAAACAGTACCATTTCAAGCAGATATTTTTCTTTTCCCGCCCCGTCAAGAACATCATTTATTTTTCAATTTGTAATTTTTAGAATCCCTTAAAAATTGGCCACAGAAATCCTCTACAAAATTCTGTTCTTTCTGATAGAAAGAATTAATTAATTTAATTAAAGTAATAGCATATGGCAGGAAAAGACATAACTGCAAAATAGTCTCCACATACAAAATGAGACACAAAGTCTTTATTTGCTGCATTGAAATATAATTTATAGACTGTCCCATGTATTCTTCTCTCCATATTTCCAGTTTAAGAGAAGTCCTGCTAAGTATTTTTCCATAGTCACAATTCAATCAGATAATGTCTTATTGATCGCGTCACCACCAGTTGTTGCTTCAGAATAATTTATTTAGAAAAGCTTGTGCTTTATTATTATTGTGGCTGGTTGCATAGTCAAAGAGATGTTTAGATTGGAACTAGCATTTTACTTGCCTATTGACTCCTTCTCAAGGATTTAGGAGAAATGTTTGTTTACTTAGTGTATAGCATATCATACATGGACTAGCAATATATATTAACATTCCACCTAGATTAGTAAAACATAACAAAATATAAATGTTACAGGAGAGGCAGATGTTGTTTGATAGTGTTAAAATTAGCTTTGAAGGATATAAGCTGTTCCAAGTAATGCTGCCTTTTACAATTGATTGACAGTATTTTTTTTCAATATTGATGGAGTTCAAGTAGTGCTCCAGAATGAACTTTTTTGTTGTTAAAATAATTAATATAATCACTACCATCAATATCACCATTTTTACAAGGACCAGTAACTTTTGTAGTTAGTTGCATTAAACAAAAACAACAACAAACTAAATCATCATTAGCATCATTGCTACAATCAGAAACTTAGGTTCAACACCATTGAACAAATTATTTTTGAAGACTATGTAAATGCCAGTAAAGAGGTATGTGAATTCAGCATTAAAAATTTAAAATGGTTTGAAAAAAATGGTAGTGCATATTGATTGGTGGGAAGGAAGAAAAAGTTTCCCTACCCAAAGAAATTATTGAATGGCTTCCATTTCGCTTCAAAGATGCAAAGGTTTAGTTCCCAAAATGCTTGGAAATGAGTTTTTTAAACGGGATTGTTAAAATAGAATGTACAAACTTAGAATCTACAGATTTGAAAAAACCCAAGTCACACATTCCCAATCGTTTTACTGTATTGCTAACTACAGTTTTTTCTCTCTGAATTTTTTTTAGGTCTCTTTGAAGATAATAAATTCTAATGGAGGGCATTTCTATTGTCTGAGCAGTCTCTCCTTATGTTTACATTGGTCTAAAACCACAATGGAACACTAAGTAGATCTTCGTTGCTGCAGGATGAATCGGATGACTACAATCTGGAAGGAAGCAGAATAATTGGGTTGTCTTCTTCAGTGGTGATTTGCTTAGTGTGTGGAACAATGCCAGAAGGACTAGCAGAAATGCTTATGGATACATGGGCTCCATTAGTAATATTATGGATTACTGCATTTCCATCAATATACATGGCTCCAATGAATCATTCTCAAGTTCTACCCAGTAGGTCCAGTAGAGGACTAAATGAACTCAGTGAAGAACAAAGAGTATTAAACCGCTCAAAGAGAGGCTGGGTATGGAATCAAATGTTTGTGTTAGAAGAATTTTCCGGACCTGAACCTATATTAGTTGGACGGGTAAGTCAATATTTTTAATCCTCCAGTGAGACTGATAACATGTATTTATTTCTTTGAATCGTTTCCCCAAACTGGCCATGTAATTCTATGTCCCGTGAATACTTTGACATGCTACAAGTCAACTAGAAAAGGAGCTGACCCCTGATTAATGTTCTGCCTTTAGAAAGAACTACGAAGGACAAGGATATAGTTAGCTCTGATTCTAGCCAAGGATGATTATTGATTTTATGTGGTTAGCATGTTACAGTCAAGGAAAATGGAAGGAGCATGAGTATTTTGGGGTTGGTATGGATCATTTGACAGACAAGACAGGCAGAACTTTCAGTCATTGACCAATAAGAGACCACCAAGTGGGCCTACTCAACTTATCTTGGTACTTTTTCACATTTTTGGTTTGCTTTGTATAATATGTAGTTAAGCACATGTAAAGTTAAAACTTTGTTAGGCCTATCTTGCTGGAAGGTTAAATGTCTTACGTGTGTGTGTGTGTGTTTGTGTGTGTAGGACACATAACATGATGGATGAAGGCAGGGATGATTTTCTCCAGGCTGCATGAAAATATTTTCAAGCTGGCTGTATGAATATTTGGAGGGGAAGAGAGGCATCTCTTTGATTTGACCTCAAGTCTGATAATGAGGGATCAAATCTCAGTTTAAAAAGAAAAAGAAAAAAAGATTGGGACCAAAATCAAAGCAGCCCACTGAAACAAACACAGAAGAGGATTAATTCAAAGACAGGTTTAATTACCTGCCAGGTTTTGAGCTAATGATGTGAAGAAGAGGCCACAGATAAAGAAGCAACAAGACTGGCAACAAGAAAAGAAAATGAATAAAAAAAAAGCATTTTTGGAGGGGTGTAAATCTCAAATAGCAGCAAAACGTGTCTCTCATCTCCCCCTCTGTCTCTGTGTATCTCTCACATATACACACTCTTTCTTTTCAAGCAAATAAGTATGCTTCAGAGTAACAATTATTTAACACCTGCCTTCTGCCTAGAAAAAAAATAAAGATATTGTATTTTTGTTGTTAATGATACCTATTATGTTCCCATGGAATCAAAAGAAAATACCCCCCTCCCACCAAAATAAACCATCCAAATAGAAATGAATAAAGACTAAGCTGAAGACTTAATTCTATTGTCAATCACAATGTGGAATAACTACAAACCACTTATATTATCAAGCATCTTGGAAATCACAGTTGAAATTGCCGAAGCAGCACAATTAGTACGCCAGGTTTTCAGCATCTTCCTGCAAAGATGCTGAAAGATGCCGGTCTAAATAGCAGCTCAAATATTTACTGGATTATATTTAAATAAATTCATTTCATTTACTGTACCATAGCCCCAGGACTGACGGGCAAGCAGCGAAGAAGCGGGCGGAGACGGGCGGGGCCAGCCAGAGGCCCGGTTTACCTGTTCTCTGAGTTACAGAGAATCATAACAACCAGTCCAAACCAGTAGAATCCACCCCTAGCTCCCACCCCTTAAAAAAAGACTCTAAGTGGTTTACACTAAATAAGTTTTACCATTTGATTTCCTAGCAAAATGCAGACTGAGAAAAGTAGAAACAGACCCTAAAAAGAATGAGATTATTTGAACCACTCATGCCATAGCATGTTTAACTTTTACTATTTCAACATTATCCTCTTTCTAATTCCTGTTTTATTCTAACTATTAAATGCAGTTACAAGAGCAGTTCCAATTTATCGGTGATGTGTATGATTGCTTTTTAAGAAGGAAAAAAAATCCATAAAAGGGTGGTGATGGCACCATGAAGGAAGCTGCAGATGAAGCCTTAAATACTCTCTTTATTCTTGGCATTATTCTCCTGATACTTAAAATTATAATTTGAGTTGCATATTTATACTGTCTTGTGGTTCCCATGTCAGGTTTAGTTCTCTATTGTATGGAATGGGGCAACTTACCTTGGCCAACTTGTCACGACCAAATATCCATGGCCAACTCATTGCTGCCAACTCACCACAGGAGAACTCACCGTGGGACAATTCAACAAATTCAAAAGTTACATTAATTTCATTATCACCTTGTCAGTAATAATAAAGCTAATTAATCCAGCAATAAAAGAGTTACAATAATTTCAATGAAAACATGGTCACCAATAATAAAAGTACCAGAATGAAATGATTAATACAGCATTGGATTGTCCCATGGTGAGCTGTCCTGCAGTGAGTTGGCTGTGGATAGTTGTCCTGCTGCAAGTTAGCCATGACAAGTTGGCTCTGGCGAGTCTTTCTAGACCCTCAGTCAGTAAGAACTCCACCCTCAGTAAGAACTCCACAATATGTAAAGCACTGTATACCACAGGAGATCAATCCAAAAGATGTAGAAAAATATACGGAGGAAGGGAATCAGATGGTGAAGTTTGTGGTGATAATTGAAAAACAGGCCTTTTGATTATAATACTCTTTGTTTACCTACAGTAAATTTAGAATATATTGGACCTTGCTCTTAAATCTTTATCCTGTTTTGCTATTTAGATTTAGGACCAAAGTCTAAAAGAGAATCTGACATTGAATAGGATAAGAGAGTTAAGAATGGAACCTACAAAGGATTCCCAAATGGTTCCAATCATTAGGCAATCAAACAGGATTTGATCCATTCCAGGAAACCCACAAAGTTTCTACCCCTATTTTCATCTTTCATCCAATGTTCAGTAGTTACTGAGTCTGCTTTCCTATTTGCTTAGGTTAATGGTTCATTATCACCCACGCTTCTGTGAAAGGAGTGGTAGTTCTCAGCAGCAATAGACAATCAGGTCTGTTCAGAATTAAGAAGGGATAATACTTTATAGAACTACAAAGTACAATTCTAATTTCTAATTTCATTAGTTCCCATTTGGAGAAAGTGAAATTACTGTCACAGTAAAGGAGTCTAAAGCAGCTACTAGATCAACAATGCCTCTTTACCAGTTTCAGTAGAGCCTGTAACTGTTGCATATATTTTTGCAGATGATTTTAAAAAAAATGATACCCAGATGTACTTTCAATGAAACATTAAACAGAAAGGGATGGATTTGAATCTTGAAGCCGTACCTCAATTTACATATCAATATTGCTCTTTTGAAATATCTTAGGAATCTCTTCTCGAAGTCCTGGTACTGTAACCCCTTAAGTGTGAAAACACTAAATGTATACATCTACACTGCACCCTGGATTTACAAGGCTAGGCTGAAAGGGTGAGATGAAAAAATAGTCACCATGAGTTTGGCCATATTTAGATAGGGGAATTTCAATACCATTCAAGAAGCCAATTGAGGTTTATTTATTAAATGCTGGTTTTGTAGTCTACCAAACATTCTTTCCTTTCAAAGGCACAAGTTTACACAACCTACACTCTAAAGCTTGGATTTTGTTTTGTTCCATTCAGTTGTGTGTCTGATTCTCAGAGAACAAGTCCTTGTGATTTTTTTGTCAAGGTTTGTCAGAAGTGGTTTGCCGTTGCATCCTAGAGAGTGAATGACTGGACCAACATCACTCAGATGGCTTTGTGGTGAAGGCAGGACTAGAACTCGAGATCTCCCAGTTTCTAGCCTGATGCCTTAACCAGTGCATCAAAATGGCTCTTGAAATCATATCCAAAAACCTTGGATAGCAAAGCTTATTTCATGTGTTCAAATATTATTCTAAGACCAAGAATGTAAATCATCCTGTGACTAAATGTAATGGCCGATTCCCATAGACTGTTAAACCGAAGATTAGATTCTTACAATATTCTGAATTTTAGTCTCTCTATTCCCCTATTAGTCTAGTCATATATGCCACAAAGTTCCATTTATGATGTTGATATTCTGAGATAATCTTGAATGTGATGCTGAGAAATTTACCCTGTAGACTACCACATTTTGCTGAGAGAGAAAGAAACAGATGGAATAACTTTTCAATGAAATAAAATGAGTGTAATTAAGAATATTTTATATTAGTGTTGAAAGCAATCGAGAACCATAGCTGAACTATATAGTCCAACTGTCCTTCAGCAGACCTTTTAGAGTTGTGGGTAAAAGTTAAGATATAATCATTATAGAAAAAAAATATTTTGTTTGGTTTTATCTCACTTTCCTCCCATTTTAATCTACCATTGAAAATACACATTGATGGAAATTAAAGGAGATATATTTTAAGGACATATAAAACTTCTCATAGCCTGTTATTTAATAGATTGGAAAATGTATTGAATAATCTTGAATCCTGATCTTATTTAGAATTAGATATTTGCTGCAGGCCCAAGCTGCTTCTTAATTGTGCATGTTAACAAAGCTGGACCTACAATTAGGATGGTGAGACAGCTATCTTAAGCATCAGACTTTGGATAGCATGGGAAGACAGGCAATTGTGAACCATTTTACTGCTTTATTGTGGCTACTGGAGATAGAGAGAATGCTTTAGGGCTTTACTGTGCCAGATACAGGAAAAAGTTTGGTGGCTCTGGGTATTATGTTTCTGATTTGGCTGGATGGGATTATCATTTATGTCTCTGCTGCAGACAGCAAAATATCTTGAGCTAACCCTGTGAATTAATTTACCCCAAAGTCATGCATTTCTATCTTACGTTGATGCAGAGTTGGCAATAGCTACACCTAGCAAAATCAAGACAAAGAAGACACACGGTCCAATTTATTTGGAAATAATTATTTTCTTATTCAAATTCTTAATCTGCAATAAGACTGTAGCCTTTGTTACATTCTTTTACATTCATTCAAATATGAGCCAAATTTAATCCACTGATTATGGGTCCTGTATATCTAAAGAATTTATTGAAGTGCACTACAGTTATTTTGTTGTTTTTGAATGCAAATACACATACACATATAATTGGTTTTTATATATATATATATATAGGAACATATTCCCAACTGGATTTAAAGTATCAATCAAACACATTGACAAACAAAACAAATCAAAAACAAATTGTGAGTTAAAATAGATGGCTGCCCCTGTCTTGATTCTTTCTACATAATGTTGTAGAAAGATGTGTTGTCTTAC